AACTTAAGTAACATTGTTACCTGCGTTGCATGAAAATTGAATATTAAATCCCTTTGTCCTTCAGACAGGGAATTTTTATGACAGTAGCACATACATACACACACACACACACACACACACACATATATATATATATATATATATATATATATATATATATATATATATACATATATATACATACACACAAATATATATATATATATATACTTATATATGGAAAAAATGAGAACACATTAAACTAAGACGTTTCAAAATGTGCAAACAAAATAGTACTTGCTAAATATTCAGTTTTATTGTTAAGCCCAAGATGAACTTTTGACCTACACCAATTGCTAAAGTAGGACTCCCAGAAGCAGTGAAAAACATTTCAGCAACACTCCTCTCTCACCAGCAACAAAAATTAGTTATTAAATATCCATAATACTGTCCTATTGTGTATCACAGCAGCTCATTGCAACAGAATTTAACTACTACAGCTGATAACTATTTAGCTAGTTGGTATTTATTTTGAGTGAAAGACAATAAAACCAAAGAAACACTTAATTTCACAACCATTTTATTTTGGGTACAAATGAATTTGCTGAAGCATGGCTTTCTCAGCTGCATATCGATTCATCCCCTCCCATTTTTCCAACACTTTTATTGTTACCTGAAAAACATGCAGGATTACTTCAACGTCAGCGTCTTCTTCCGCTTATCAGGGTCCGGGTCGTGGGGGCAGCATCCCAACTAGGGAGCTCCAGACCATCCTCTCCCCGGCCACCTCCACCAGCTCCTCCGGCAGGACCCCAAGGTGTTCCCGGACCAGATTGGAGATGTAACCTCTCCAACGTGTCCTTGGTCGACCCGGGGGCCTCCTGCCGGCAGGACATGCCCGAAACACCTCCCTGGGGAGGCGTCCAGGAGGCATCCTGACCAGATGCCCAAACCACCTCAACTAGCTCCTTTCGATCCAGAGGAGCAGCGGTTCTACTCCGAGTCCCTCCCGAATGTCCGAGCTCCTCACCCTATCTCTAAGGCTGAGCCCGGCCACCCTACGGAGGAAACTCATTTTGGCCGCTTGTATCCACGATCTCGTTCTTTCGGTCATTACCCAAAGCTCATGACCATAGGTGAGGATTGGGACGTAGATCGACCGGTAAATCGAGAGCCTGGCTTTCTGTCTCAGCTCCCTCTTCACCACGACAGATCGGCTCAGCGTCCGCATCACTGCAGACGCTGAACCGATCCGCCTGTCGATCTCCCGATCCCTCCTACCGTCACTCGTGAACAAGACCCCGAGATACTTAAACTCCTCCACTTGAGGTAGGACCTCTCCCCCGACCCGGAGTTGGCAAGCCACCCTTTTCCGGTCGAGAACCATGGATTTGGAGGTGCTGATCCTCATCCCAGCCGCTTCACACTCGGCCGCGAACCTACCCAGCAAGAGCTGAAGGTCAGAGCTGGATGAAGCTAGGAGGACCACATCATCCGCAAAAAGCAGAGACGAGATTCTCCTGCCACCAAACTCTGTTAAGGATTACTTCATACACTGTCAAATGTTTTTGAAAAGTAACTTTTATACCAATCACTGCTGAAGCCTGCGTAGTACCTCTGGAACAAGGACATCAAACACCAAGTCCAGAAACTGGAACTCTCCCTTCTTTATTAGTTTATCTATTCCTGAGCATGAACCAATCCGCTCTGTCAGCTCGTCAACCTATAAAACACGTTAACATAAAAATGAACAAAACGTTCCTCTCAGCATTAGACAACGGACCCAGGTGGCCCACTGACCACGCATCGAGATAAATAAATGTGATGCAGCTTATTGCAAGTCAGTATACATTTACCTGTGCATCAGCAAAGTGGAACATCAGTGGCTTTAGTCTTTGCTTTAATTTAAGCGAGACACCTGGATTGTGCCACAGATACATGAGGCCAGACTTCACTCCACCGCTGCAGAGATCCTATACAAAGTCTGAGTAGAGACAAGAGTTAAAAATAAGCAACATTACCACAGAAAACAAGGGATTGCATTATCCTATGTCCAATTTTAGAGTCTTAATTTATTATAATTAAACATTACCTTGATTTCACCATCTGAAATCACTGCCTGGGTTCCATTTTTCAAAGCCTCGATTGTCCTGTAATTTAGATAAAAATACATCTTATTAGCAAATGAAGAATACAAGCACATGTAAGGAGTTTTGTCAGTGTCACTTAAAGAAGTCCGATATTCATTTTAGATCTATATTTAAGGCCTGTAACTCCTGAATGATTTGCAGCTACATGTGCTTAAATCCGGTAATATTAACATAAACCAAACCCGATCAAAGCAGTCAGTCGACAAAAATATCTATTTTTTATAAGGATAGGATTATTCTGAAACAGAACCAGAAGGAGGGCGGCATTAATTGGAGAAGCGGCTACTATTTCAAAGTTATTGTACCTGTTGCACCTGATTTGTGCAACCACAGTAGAATGACCCAGCACACCACACACAATAACTGAAAAATATTTAGAGATATTGAAAGCTAAGCTTGTCCAGAAAATACAATTTATTTCTGGGTGCCCAGGACCAGTTCCAGTGTGGGCCAGATGCTGAAAAATAAATTCATAAATCTGTCTTTTTTGAAGTTTCACAAATCAGAGGAAAGTTTCACAAATAACAAACTATGTTTAATGCATTCCTACGAGCCCAGAATAATCTAAAACATGTTTGAAGAGTGTATGTATTGTAGGTTTTGAGCTAGAGCAGAAAAAAATGGTCAGAGTAGAGAAAAATTGGGTGTATTAGCCCTTTAGCCATTTCCCGAATCAGAAGCTAACTTTAGCCTCGTATGAAAACTAGTGATTGAAACCACTTACAAATCTCTGAAAATCTACGCTTTTTAATTTAAAAAAAGGGTATTAATAACGTTTCAGTCAAGTCAGTATTAGAAATCGTGGTCTTTATATCATATCTACATTATATATAACGTTAATATTATTACTTTAACTGTTTTAACAAACAGGGAGACCAGAAAAATCAAATAGCTAAGTTAAAGTTAAGCTACAATTGCTGATAGCTTTATTTATGTAGCTTTTGTGTTAGCTAGCTTGTGAACTCCCTGCATTCGTTTTAAGACTGCGTGTTAATATTGATACAATTAGCTATGAAACACGGTGCCTTTGCAATAATTCTCTGGTAAAGCTTTAAACGCTATAGTGCCTACATTTAAGAACTAAGAACTTATCTTTCTTTCTTTATCTATCATCCTTATCCTTACCTTTCCTCAATTGAAACCCGCCGAGTATGGTTGAAACAAAAACAACGTAGCGGCCGCCAAAAAAAGACCAACTTCCTGCCGAGGTCTTTCGCTCGTCGATTTTCCGGTAAAAGTAATGACACGCCATCTTGCTCTCGACACACCAGCTGATGTCTGCAGCCAGGTCCTACTCACTTGCCAAGACAGCTGCGCATGCGCAAGAGCGTTATGTCGTCGGTCGCTGTGAGCGAGTTGTAAACAGAGCAGCATGGTAGAAAGAACGCACGCTAAAGCTTGGGTCCACTTCACTAAATGTGATGGCGGGTAACTGATGATGAAACCAGCGACAACAATCTAAGTGAGACATCCTCATCTTAATCTGCTCCGGTAAGTAAATAAAATGTAACGTTAGCTTGATATGTTAGCTTCCGTTTCGCTAATGGTGCGTTCCCTTTCTCCTCGGAATTCCGACTTTCCGACTAGAAGAACATGAACGCGCTCTAAAGTTTGGCTTCACTTTACTAAATGCGACGGGTGATTGGGTCAAGATGAAACCAGCGACAACGATCTAAGTGTGAGGCATCATCATTTTAATCTGCTCCAGCAGCTAAATAAACTGTTTAAGATAACGTTAGCTTGATGTTAGCTTCCATTGCCACCGTTGTTATCGGCTAATGGTGCGTTCGCTTTCTCCTCGGAAATTCTAACTTCCCAGTAGGAAAAATCAAATGAAAAAGGAATGAAGATACACAGTAAATTTAGTTCACAGTAAAGATGTTTGCCTCAGTTTAATTATCAGCTTATAAAACTACAAGGACGATGTTAATACAAACAGTTGTTTGTTATTTATCGTGATATTTATCAATTATAGTTATGAATTGAGAAAAATATATATTTAATTATAAAAGAGAATTAAAATATTAAACACTCAAAAGTATCGAAAATTGGTACCGTTAAGTACCGGTATCGATTCAAATGTCAAAGGTACCCATCCCTATGTACGAGTGTGTGTGTGTGTGTGTGTGTGTGTGTGTGCCTGGGAATGGTTTGCGGATTGGAGGTGAAACTGTCATAATTGTTTTAAGTGTGGGAAAGGGAGAGAATGTGGGTTATATGGGTCATTTTAATCTGTTAAACACTTTGTGTTGCTTGCTTTGCATGAAAAGTGCTTTATAAATAAAGTTTGATTTGATTTGATATTGACAGTCTGGACACTTTAAAAAAACAGCTTAAGATCCTTTTATTTAAAGCTGCTTTTACCAAAATCTTTTACTATCTAATTTTTAACTCAAATTTGTGATCATCTTTCATTTGTTTTTTGGTTTTCTACAATTTTATGACTTTGTTTTTATCATTGTGATTTTATGACATTACCATGAGTTTTGTTTTGATCTATGTGAAGCACTTTGTGATTTTCTGTCTGTGATGAGTGCCATATAAATAAATTTACTTAATTACTTACTTATCACAATCTAATCAGCTGATGAATCCAGAACACCTGCAAAGAGTTTCTGAGCCTTTAGATGTTCTCTTTTGTCTGTAATCCATTTTTTTTGTTATTTTCTTACACAGTTTGTAAGAAACTGTAACGGGATAAGAAAAGAACTAGAATATAGCTTTAGATGGTCTCTCAGTCTAAGTGTAATTACTGACATAAATGAACGTTTGCACCATATTCACCTGAATGTATTTCCTTGGATGTTATGGCTCCAGACCCCACCTCTATTCCTCTTAAATTGCAAAATCACATGACAACTGCATAGTTTAAAGTTTTATTGTCTACTTTTATTGAGAAATATTTATGAAACACGCACCTTTTTGTAAATTAAACTATTACCTTGAGCCATAAAGCTGTGATCTGTCTGAAGCATTTACTGTGATGTGAGACACTAAACACACAAAAACTTTTGACAGTTCAAAACTTCCTTGTCTTACTTCATCTCTTTGACAATGAACACAAGACTCGTCGTAGGAATTTTTATGTGTTTTTGTTAACACCGGGAAGGCAAGTGTAGCAATTGGGATTGTTTTTATGCGTAGCTCCAGTCAAAGAACCAGTTTAGCAAGGCCGAACTTACAGGAAGTCTGATGAAAATCAGTGCATACTGTGGATGATGAGATGTCAGGTTCAGTTTGGAACAACAGGCTTCAGGAATCTACGAAAGCAGGACTGAAACCTAAAAATAGTTCATAAACGATTTCTCTACCAGAAACGATGAAAGCAGAAGAAAATCAGGTAAAACTGAAAGCATAAAATAATGATAATAATAATTGGGAAAAATGGGGAAAAACAAATGAGCAGCAAATAAAGTAAGGAACAGGTGACAGAAAAAAATTGAAAACGAACATCACAGCATTTTATCTACACTGGTTTAATGCAAACATTTTATTTTTGCTGGTTTTGGTCGAAGGGTCCGGCAGCACCAGCCGAGCTTCCATCAGCGCGTCTCAGGGTGGCTTTGGCACTGAATGACTGTCTTGTAAAGCGCCTTGGGTGGCTGTAGAGCACTAGAAGGCCCTGTTCAAACACAGGCCATTTCCCATCTCTGAGCGTTCAGGACCCTCATGTCAGAGCTCACATCTGTCACGTCTGAAAACGGCAGGATTCTTTTAACTTTCAATGTGACGAACCTCGTTTTACGAGAAGCACTGAACAGGACAACAGTTGTAAAATATGTCAAATTAGTCAAACCCCTGAGCTCTTACTTAGATGATCTGTGTTAATGTACATTGTCATCTGTGTCCATAGAAATCCACCTTGTGGTGAGCGGAGGCTCTACTCCACGAAGCAGGTGGTTCTTTCTTTGACCTTTGGGGCGTTTCTCTGCTGGTTACCACTTGAACTGATGTGGCTCCCGTGGAACTAACAGATCTACGTCTAGTTTGTTCTGCTCCTTAATATTGCGGACTGTCCTGTAGCCGAGCAGCGACATGGCCTCTTTACATGCTTCCTGAACACGCTTGACCTTGAAGTGAGGCAGCATGGTGCGCCACGCCTCAGAGACCTGGGTAGCGTTTCTAGACACAACTTGAAAAGCCTCCTTCACCGTCCCTTTTCCTTTTCCATGGGTCTTCTGGTAGATCCAGTCACTCATCTCTGGAGTCATCTTCAAACCAACAAAGTCATAAATGTCCCTGACCTCCTTCAGCGGGTTGCGTGCCACGTCTTCATAGCGAACCAGTTTGTAGCGGCCTTTTAGGAATGGAGGTGGTTTCAGGATGGCCGTCTCATAAATACGAACGTGGCTCCGGCAGATCTCCTGCATCACTTTGAACTGAACTTCAAATTTAGTCATGTTTTGTTGTTCCAGGGCTGTTGCCGTATCTTTCTCTAAGGACTTAGCTGACTCCGCTCTTGACCGCATCACGGCCCGCGGGTCCCGCACCAGATGAACGATGCGGAGATCCAGGTTGGGGTCTTGCAGAAGAGGATAAAGGGACTCCAGCTCAAACAGTCGGGTTTCTTTTAACACCACGTGACTGTATGTGCTGCAGGCCTGCTCCGCCTTCTGCAGACCTCGAGCGTCACATTTCTGACGACACTGAGTTTCATTGGTTGCTGTGATGTTGCAGGCGGGCGGCGAGCACAGAGCACGACTCTCATACCACATAAACAAGGAGGAAACACGGTGGTCTTCTGGGAGATAGGCATCCATCACTGAGAAGTCACACTGGTAGAGACTCCGGAGACAATCCCTCACAGCCATCCGGAGGAGCCGGGCTCCAGATTTCTGCACTCTGGTCCACACGTGCCAACCGGGCTCCATCAGATAGAAAACCGACGCGTGCTGACTGAAAACCTGACCCAGGAAGGACGAACCTGATCGCCACGACGACAGCAACAAGACGTGAACTTTTCTTTGAGGGAGGGGAGTGTTGTGAGGACTTTGATGAAGGTACCAGCTGTAGGACATGATAACTGTCCCCCCCAGCAGTAAAACTAGCATCAGCATGGTGTTGAGGTTAGCCCTGTAGCAAAAATTCATGGCTGTGGAAAGAAAAACAAAAAGTTAACATTAAGGTGAAATTTTAACGAGTTTGATCTAAATGCATGTTTATTCACCTCTTCTTGGTTATCCACCTAAAAGGTGGCTTTCCTTTGAGTTGTTCACTGATGTTTGCTAACATCTACTTGATTTTATTTCTTTGATCATAAACTTGAAAGCTCCAAACAAACAACAGTTTCAAAAGCAAGCTAGTGTCGCAGCAGGTTTTTCATCTCATGCAGCAAGTCTCTTTAAACAAAAGCATCGTTCTTTACGGTTTGATCTTATCTCGTCTTTGGAATGAAGACTGGAATAAAATGGTTGGCAAAGAAGCTTTTAGAACATGCAGGCGTGAGAACGAAACGTTCCATCCTGTGGAAAAACGAACAACAGCTGAGGTCGCTGATCTCAGAGTTTAGAACATCGCTAGTGACTTGAGCTCCAGATTTCCTGGCAGAGCTGAAGAAAACTATCAGCTGTTTCAGTCACACGGGTCAGAACCAAACAGGGTGAAGCTGCTTTCAGCTGTGCTGCTCATAGTTAGCTTCCTTGTGACCAAATCTGACCCAACTTTAGCAACTTTTACAAAAAAAGGGATAACTTTAATGTATTCACCTGCCTCTAAGTAGTTGTTTTTTACGCTGCACCTTCTGCGCTGTAACTGCTCAGTCTTCCTTTTTGTCTTCTCTCTTTTAAAACAGAGTTTTGGTTTGCTTTTAGCAGCTCCTAGAGTCCATGAGTAAACGTGAAAGTGAAACTCTCCTCCTCACTGTGCGTTTGTCTGTCTAACACCTTAATGTAACAGCTGAATGTCTCCTCAGCCTTCATTAGTTTCTACAGGAGCGGTTCCTCACTTAATCAGACGAATCAGGAAAGGTGCTGGAAGCACACTGCAGCGCTGACATGTCTGCTCCACTTCACTAACAGGGACAGGACCGCAACTCTGAAGTTGCAAATGCGGTATTCTGGCCAAAGAGGGCGGTGGGGGGTGTGAGTGACATTTCATTAACCCTGTCAAGGGTCGTTTTAGCACAAACTGGCTCAAGAAATGTATTCATGAAAAGGTTGCATGGTCGCCTTTTCAATGAAACTTTATTTGTGTATTTTAAATGTCATTCTTGTTATGTCTAGTATGTTTTTCTTGCTCCTGAAAGCATTTGTCTGTGTGTATAAAATGTTTGTACACAAAGCAGTCTTGCCTGGAGTTCAGGTTAAAGGAAAACTACATTAATCTGCAGCAAAACCAAAACTCATAAAAAATCTGACCCTTTCAGAAAAACAACCTGCTGTTGAAATTATAGAAAAACTTTTATTATATGTTCGAATTTTTGCACTTATTATGTTTTGTAATAAACTCTGTCAGTATGAAATTGTTCATTTCAGAAACTCGGTGTCCAAAGTGTGGCCTGTGTGTTTTTTTGTAGCCCTCTGAGAGGTTTCATGTTTCCCTCAACTGCAGTTATAAATGTGAGGCCAAACAAAAAAAAAGCAGGTAAAGTCTTCTGTAAAGGGAAAAAACAAACAAACAAATATACATAATATTTGTGTTTTGTTAACTTTTAATTGGGACAAAAGTCATTTTTTAAATACTGGGAATCCGCCACTAATGACTAATCAACAAAGGAAAAACTGATCAAACGTCACTTTTAAATGACCAAATTATCCATTTAGTTTAGCTACAAGGATTGTAGGAGCCTTTTATTTTGTGGGTTGGGCTTTCATCAGTGGTGGTGGTGGTGTCGGGTGCGTCACATGTGATGTAAGTGGGTCCTCAGGTGTTTCGAGAGAGCCGATTATGCATGGGTGGTGGGACGAGCATACGGTTTTTACCGCTCGCGACACCATGGCACGATATACTTCTTTTTTGTGACGATCAACTGGGAGCACTACTATCCTTGGAACCGCATCATGTGAAAGGCCAGCTAATGCTCGTAAAAGAAAATAAACAAGGCTAACGCACAGACAAAAAGAGGTTTGATTTATGAATAGAAGCGCGTCAGAAGCCGCCTCCGCCCTCACCCGGCTGGCTGACAACAGGAAGTGTCAGCACAAGGATCATTTTCTAAATTTACTAAAAATCAGACGTGTTAGCACCGTTTGTAAAATCCATCTACGTAACAGAGCAACCATACTGTTCATGTTGCTGCTAACGAACTGAAATGTATTTTCAAGACCAAAAAACAAGAAAGCAATCAACCAATCAAATCTAGGGGATTTAATTGATTTATATTATTCAAGCAAATTCACAAAACCCTTTTATATTTCTCCTGAAACTACAAAAGAAAAAAAAATCAAAGGCCAGACGATATTAGCTCCAGGCTCCTGAGGTGGTGCTCAGACCAGCTCTGTGGCATCAAGGGACATGTTCAGCATGAGGCTGAAGCTGGGAAAGTACCACAGCTGTGGAAGACCTCCGGTGCCAAGGTTTCACTCCCAAAAGTTCTCAGCAGCTACAGGCTGGAAGCGCTGACCTCACATCTGACAAAAACCTCCAAGAGGCTAGTTCTCAACCACCTTCACCCCCTGCTGAGGTCTCCATTGGATCTGCTGCACTTAGCCTACAAGCTTGTCATCAAGGTAGAAGGTGTCTTCATCTACCTCTTACATACACCTGTGACTCACCTGGAGGCACCTGGAAGCACTGCTAGGATCACGTTTTTGGATTTCTCCAGTAACTTAACTACCTCACAGAATGTTATCTCAGTTTGTTATCTCAGGGTTGTGTCTCTGACAGGCTTCTCTGCAGTACAAGGGGCACCACAGGGAACTCTGCTGGCACCATCTTCTTCTTCCTCTACACTTTGGCCTCATCACTGATGAGGATGACTCAGAGTACAAACAGGGGACACAGAGTTTGTGGACTGGTGTCAGCAGAACCACTGCCTGATAAACACCAGAAACACCAAGGAGCTGGTGGTGGAGACACCGGTTCCTCTGTTTTGGTATCGGTGGAAAGAGGTGGAACGAGCAAGGTTGATATACCGGTGCACCATTTCCCTGACCTCAAAATTTCCCACATCACAGCTGAGCTTCAGACGGCAGGTTCAGGAGTCTTGTTTGCTGATATTTGGACATCTCTCCCCGGACTGGACAACAGCAACGCAACTCTACCACTGACTTGCAACATGGATGTTTTATCTCCACAAGTAACACAAGCCTGGAGGAGTTCTGCTGCATGGTGGTGTTGCTAACGCTAACGGTTATGGCCTCTGCTGATTCCGTTATGTCCCTTGTGCTAATTGATTCAAGCATGCGCACATGCAGTCATTCACGGATCCCAAAAGGTGTTTCATGGACCCCAAAAGGATCGCTCACAGACTCTCGGGGGATCCTAGAACCCCAGCTTGAGGACCAATAACCTTAATGTTTCACAACAAGAAGAGAGCCAGATTCTATATAGAATGTGTAAAACAACTCCTTAACAGAATGGAGCATTCAGTCTGCTGCACTAGGCAGCCCGGCTATGGCTTCTCTACCTGGAAGGAGGATCTTAAAATCTATTCTGAATTTCACAGGTAGCCAATGTAGGGAAGCTAAGACAGGAGAGATATGATCTCTCGTTTTAATTCTCATCAGAACTCTAGCTGCAGCATTTTGGACAAGTTGAAGACTTTTAACTACATTCTGTGGACTTCCTGAGAGTAATGGATTACAGTAATCCAGTCTTGATGTAATAAATGCATGAACTAGTTTTTCAGCATCACTCCTGGAAATGATGCTTCTAATCTTAGCACTATTCCGAAGGTGGAAGAAGGAAATCCTACAAACCTGTTTAACCTGGGATATGTCCTGGTCAAAGATAACACCAAGGCTCCTTACTTTGTTCTCGGGGATGAATTTAATGCTGTTCAGGTCAGGTGATTGACTAAGCATTTTCCTTTTCTGAATATTGTGATCAACTGTGTCAAAGGCAGCACTGAGATCTAACAAGACTAGACCAGACGCAAGATTCTTATCTAAAGCCATGAAAATATCATTTGTAACTCTCACTAATGCAGTTTCAGTGCTGTGATACTCTCTAAAACCAGACTGAAATTCCTCAGACAGATCATTAGTGTTTAGATGCTCACATACTTGATAGGCCACTGTTTTCTCCAGGACTTTGGATAAAAATGGAAGGCTAGATATTGGTCATCATTACGTATCCATTTAGAAAGAAAGAAAGAAAGAAAGAAAGAAAGAAAGAAAAAGAAAGAAAGAAAGAAAGAAAGAAAGAAAGAAAGAAAGAAAGAAAGAAAGAAAGAAAGAAAGAAAGAAAGAAAGAAAGAAAGAAAGAAAGAAAGAAAGAAAGAAAGAAAGAAAGAAAGAAAACAGCACCTCTTGGGATAAAAGTCACAAAGCAGTTCACAAAAACAAAAACAAAAAAATAAATAAAAATAAAAAATATTTCAAAAAATGACTAAAAATGTGTTTAAAATGAGAAAATAAACGACAGTTGTGATTTAAAAATGTAAGGAAAGGGAAAGAGCAAATGAATAGGAAAGAAGAAAATCTGTGGATCCCGACCTCTGGTCTTGTTTAGACACCATCTAACCAAATTTTATTCATAAAATTTTAAAATGTTGCCATGTCTGTACTTTTTTTCCCCCCCGAGTCTTTTTTATACAGTTGTAAAAAATATTATTTTATTAAACTGTTTTAGACATTAGTTACAAATCTAATCTAAACTGCTATAGCAGCAGATTGTCCAGTAAGAACATATTTTGGGATACAGTGATGAAATTTAACACATGGTCAGCTCGGTCAACTTCAGACGCTTGTATTAATAATATTATTGTTGATAATCATGATAATAATAATAATTATTATTATTAATAATAATAATAATAATAATAATAATATACCTTTTAGCTGTGGATCCTCCTGCAGCAGTCTGTGGACAGGTCTCAAGTACCACCTTCACCCTAAAGGCATACTAGATAACCACAAAAAGTCAGGATTTCAGTGACGATGACAAAAATGCTGATTGTCTGGATTAGTGACGAACGGAACATGGGAGCAGTTTCTGATTGGCCCTGGTTCGAAGTGGGTGGGTACAAAGAGAGACGGAGAGCTGATTACACAATCAGGATCAGTTCATTTTAGTCAGAAAGGTCAAAAGCAAAAATTAAGTTAACAAAATAAGAATAATAAACTGCAGCTGTTTGCCATGTTACTTCTTTTTAGGCATTTATTCAGAAAGTAAATCTGTCATTTATAATATTTGTATAATTATGTATAACAATTGTGGCTCATTGGGGATATTTAATCTTTCTAAAATGAA